CCTGCCGCCCCCGAGCCGCCCCCGCCGGCCACCCCGCCACTGTTCTTCATCGCCCCCGGGATCGAGAGAGTCGACACTGGCTTCCGCAGCTGGAACAGCGCGAGCAGGACGATTAAACCGGGAACACGCGTGCGCCTCTTGTTGCGTCGAGTGCGAGCTCACGCTCGCTCAGCCGGCGCTTACACGTCGTACGTATTATCATAAACACCGCGCGGAGGGTAGTTGCGGAATAGTTGCCAGGGTAATTCCACTTTACCTGTGTACTTGCCTGCTCCGACAATAGCGGCGCTCTCTCTCTCTCTCTCTCTCTCATTCGATTATGAATTCATATCGGGGACTTCGGGGGATTTCGTCCGTTCTCTCTTTCTGCTCCGCGCGAGGGTGACATGCTTCCTCACACTTCGGGGTGTTTTAAGACGCGAGTGAGGGGTGCGTCGGGAGTCGCATAAAAGTTGTGCCAAGTCACGCGTTCGAGATACGGAAGTGGAAAGATTTGGGACAAGCGATAAGGGGAGTGAAGTCGAGAAGCGGCGAAAACAGCTTTCTTCTTTTCACGAGCGCGTAGAAAGAGAGCGGCCGCGTTCGCACGGTGAAATTCCAAAAGTCAGAGTTACAAATATACGCGTTAACGCGTACATAACGTGTGACGCGTAGTAACTTCGTGATCGCGCGCACAAGGTGTCTTGAGGATCGTTTCAGTTTTATTCTGCATCGGATTTCTGTCTCCGTCGACGACGCGTCGGAGACGATATCGCTTCGTCCCCGACGCGCGGAAAAATGCTGTTGTATCAACAGAATTGGTCAATAGCGCCGTAATTGGTGTATATTTTCCGGATTCAATGGCAATATTATTGAAATTAATACTCGCGAGCTATGAAAACAATATATGACGTATTAGTTTCAATAATATTGCCGTGGAATCAAGAACACGGAATTAGCTGTACATATAATACAACTGAAATTCAGTTACCAGGTCATTTAGTTAGCCCTTAGCTGTGTTTTCGGCCGGTTTCTAGCTGCGGAAACTAAAAACCAGGCACAGGGATAAAAGGAATTAGTTAAACGAAAAAGTTAAATTTCAGTTGCGTTATATGGACAGCTCAGTTTTATCCGTGATAGCTCATTTTCAGCTGCGGGGCTACTTTTTAGTTGTAGAAGTTAATTCCTTTCTTTCCGTGAAGATTTACAGTCTATCATTTACAAGATTCGTTTTACAAGTATCATTAGCAAGTATTATCTTATCTACAAGTAATCATTTACAGTCTTTTCACGTTGCTACACGGAGAAAATGTTGTAATAGAAATTATTAGAAAAGTTTGTAATGCTGAAATACATTGGAATTATCATCGAAATTACTATGTGTGTTGCAATCTTTAGCAATACACACATGATATACATCACTAAAGGTTACAACACACATAGTAATTTCGATAATAATTCCGGTATATTCTAGCATTACAAACTTTTACGGTAACACTCACTGCAATATTCTCTCCGTGTATCGTAGAAAATTGACAGGATATCTACAGTTTCGGGAAGATTTACTCTAATTACGGCGCCGCCGGCCAATTCGATTGAAACACAACGGCATTATTTTCCCGTTTTATACACCCTTCGATACATCTTCATTTGTTTTTTACCAAAATGTAACCGATCGTTAAGCCAATCGCCAAACGGACGACGACTGTCGCAGGAGGACGGCTTGTCCCGATAACAATCGCACAGTCCCGATTTATCGGCGATGTGGCGTGGGCGGCCACGAGAAATCTTCCAGCCGAAACTCCGTGGAACTTCGCGACGGCTTTCGATCGACCGAAATTATTCCGTCTAGCCGACCAGACGACGATACGAGCTAACGGGTGCCCCGGTCGCGTTTTTACGATCCCTACATTGCGACCCGATCCCTCGCGCAAATCGAAGCGATACGGTATCAAAAATTCAGCACCTCGTCCGAGAGCTTTAAATGGGGTTTCCCTGTAACAAAGCGCACCCCTTAATCGCGTTATGTCCCTCAGCTACGCCGAGAAAGCGCGAGCGAAGTCGTTCTTTCGCGCGAGCTTTCAGACAGAATAAATAAGTACGAGCTGCGATTTCAGCCCGGCACAAAGGGAGAAAGGTCGGAGTTTCGTCCTTTTTTCTCCCCTCGCTGTTTGGAAATCAGTAAAAGTTCATCCCGTCCTGATTCGGTGCGCGCTGCCGTTGACGAATTAATTGATTCCTTCCGAGTAAACAAACTAACGAAGAAGACCAATCTCGCCTGTTTCGTTGCTTCCATTGTTGTTATTGTACTTTCAGCGTCACGTCCGCACGTCCTCGTGCGCCCAATATCGGCTTCGAATACGTCCAATACCAGAATCTGATCTTTACGTTGAGCGAATAAAATCGACAATTAAATTATTCACGTTCTAGATCGTGAATGTAACATTGATTTGCAGTTAGTTACAGAATTCCATGCGTTAGCCGGCGAAGTCCGTGCGTCAAAAGAATTTTAAAATGAAACCCCGACACGGGACACTGAATAGAAGGAACTCGTCATAAAGTTCACAAGATTGAAAATTTGAAAATGACCGGCCGCCTACGTAATGGCGCAAAGTGCCGGGGTCAATCGCGGTAATTGTTACGCTAAATCAAACGTGACATTAAAATAGCCTTCGACGCGGCCGGACTATTAGTTCCCACAAAATTGTTCGAGAGCGGTCACTGCGTGCTCAATGGGTATCATAGAGCCATCGAGGGGCGACAATTATTATTTGTATAATTGGAGAGAGAATTTTATAATAAAAATATCGTTATCGAACTTTATAAAATCCCGAGGAACATATCAACATCCCGCCTTAATTTCTTATTCTCCCGTTTCATACGGCCTATTTATATTTTAAAAAAACTGAAACGTATATTATTAAAAAAACTATTTACCAAATAATCGCTGAATGATAACTAAAATTTATTATTAAAAGAACTTCATTAATTATCGTATAACAATAACGTAATAATAATAATGGCTTTATAATAATAATAACTTAATAATAACTTAATGATACAGCTGAAGTTTACTACACGGAGAAAACAAATTTTACTAGAACAGCGAATTGTTTGTTACTATAGTGAAAATAGCAAGAAATTACTTAATATAGCAAAACATTTGTTTCGGCAGCAGAAAGATTCGTCAAGAATATTAATTGCTATTTGCTGGATATATAAACAGTAAAATCATTCGATTGTGCCAACTAAATTTTATTGCCGCAATGGCGTTTCGCTACGACAATAAGATTATTTTCCCGTGATCAATATTTTTATCGTCGCTACATTAACGAATAATTCGCTGTTCCAGCGAAACTTGTTTTCTCCGTGCACCGTTGCCTTTCCAAATTTACACTCGATCGCCGCTGCATTTGCCCCGGTACGCTCTCGCGTTCCGCTAAGGACGAACAAAATCAGAACGCTTCACGCCACGTGGGCGCGTTGTCAGCCTGTATTTCGTACACACCATCCGATTCCGCTCCATATATTGGACGTACCGGCGGCACGGCTCGCCGCTTCGTCGATGCACCCCACGTACGTTTGCATGCGTTGCACGGGGCGCATGCACCTGCCTGCCAGTGTATGGGGTTGCACACGTACGCGAATCTACGTGCAGTCTATCGATCCTCCGCTATATTTTCCGTGCGTAACGTCTTCCACGGGTTGTACGTTCGCGAATCGGCGTTAGAGCGGCGGGGAGTATCGCTGTGGGTGCGCTCCTCTCTCTCTCTCTCTCTCCCTCCTTGTTACAGTTTCATTTCGCGACTTCCGCGTAAGCTACTATTTTGTTTTCTCTCGTTCCCGCGAAAAAGTCGATAAGAATCCCGGGAATTGAGAGGTTTTCGGTCGCAGTTTTCCGGGGAATATTAATTTACCGTCGTGGCCGCTCGAATTAATGAGGAATCCGCAAGGAGGAGGACGTAAGCTGGCGGATTCCAAGGCACCGGCGCACGAGGCTCATTCTCGTTTCGCCGCCGTGCGACGGTGAAACATCACTTAACTACGATCTCGGGTAATCAACGAGGGGAGGCTGATGATAGCGGCCGGAATGCACCGGCAGGGAGATTTCGCACGGCGTGACCCCGTGACCTTTCTCACGGGGGCTGAGGGTTGGAGGGGAGAAAGAGGAAAAGCTCTGTGTGTGTGTTATTGAGGTAGGACAGAAAGGGGAATACAGAGACGGGATGGTAGTCATGGAGACCGTCTCTCCCGAGAGGCTTCCTTAATTCAAAGCTTGATTGGCTCGAGCAATCTTAAACTTGTATATGCCTGATAAAGCTTCGCTCTCTTTCTCACTTTCACTGTGCGATTGCTCATGCCGCGATAAGGAAGGAGAGCGCCAACTGTGCCCCGTACTTCTCTATCTCTCACCCTCGCCGGAACAATAAGCGTCACACTCGCCGACGTTTCCAAGCCGTTTTAACCCCTTTAGCCGTCGGGTCTGGTCTTTAAAGGCATTGTTCCGACCGAACGATGCATCCGATTAGAATATAAAACTCTTCCGCAGTGGGAGATACAATCAAACGGTACATATTTTTCTTTTTTTCAGAACTTTCACTGAGCGATGAAGGTACAAAATTATAGTTTTAATTTCTATCGTGTTCTCTCTCTCTTTATGTTAACTCAAACTTAATTTTTCGCTTCGCGTTCTCCATTCTTCATCCGGCCGTCATGATTTTATTACATTTCCTTATTTATAGTACCCATATAATGTTACCTCCCCGCCATCTCCGAGCGAATCGTATCTCGGCGGCTCGGTTCCTCCTCACGGAACTGAATCGAATTAATTTCCTGCCCGAGTCCTTTCCATCTATTCTTCTTCCTCCTTCGCGTCCGTCTAATAAAGTCAACTCTCCTCTCGCGAAGCCGCAATCTTTCCGGCGACTTGCAGTTGCCTCCCGCACCGAGAAAGGCGATAAAACTGTCGGCAGTCGCGGAGAAACGGAGACGGAGAACAAGAAAGTGAGTATGAGAGAGAAAGAGAGAGGGGGGGAGGGAGCTGGAGCGAAGCAGATAGTGAGAATATGATCTCCGCGGCACGTATTTGTCGAGTGTTCGATACTCGGGT